ATAGTGCTTGTCCCATTCATTTTTTTAATGCTTGTAATTTAACTCTGTCATTGCATAGTTTTGTTTTTTTTTTAAGATCTCCCTCAGTTCCTTCCAAATTTCAACAGCATCAGCAATAAAACAGCTATTTCCCTGCATTTTGTTCAGCTTGGTTCCTCCCACTTTTTTCAGAGCAGCTGCTGCAAAGTGGTTGTTACGGAAGTATTTTGCAATTTCAAAAACATTAGCCTTTATTTATGGAACACTGAAGTCTTTGGCTAGGAGGTGCATCAAATGAGCACTGCAACCGTATGTTATTAGCTTGGGACTCTCTTCTAATCGGCTTTTCATGTTGGATACATTTGCAGCATTGTCTGTGACCAAGCTGCATACTAGACATTTTAATTTATTTTCACAGTTTGTTATAGCTTTTACTGCTACTTCTTCTTAGAGTTCTGCTGTGTGTGCATTTCCTGATGTATCAATTGTTTCTGTAAGGAAGACATTCCCTTCTTTGGTTGTCATACAAGCACATACGACAGGATCATTGTGGACGTTGCTCCACCCATGAGGACTCAGGTTAACAATTTCACCCTCTAGACCTTTTGCACACTGCTCAGTTTCTCTTTCATACACTTTATCCAGCAATTTGCCTGCGACATCTGCTGTGTTGGGTGGACTGTATCCTGGTCTTAATGACTGAACCATGTTAATGAAGTGTGGGTTCTCAATCATACGGAAAGCAAAGTTTGTTGCATAAACAAACTGGGCAATTTTTTCATCCATTACCTCTTTTTGTAATCTGCTGGTTCTTATCGCAAACTTATCTATGGTTGTTTCTGGATGCTGGAATTTTTTTTTTCTTTTTGCTACTGATGATATACTGTGGCTGTGTGACATACATGATGTGACTGAAACCCTATTATGGGCAGATAACTCTGAAACTGTAGAAAATGATGGTGATCTTGAAGGTGGATAGTCTTCAGAATCCTGTAAGTTGAGAATGGATTCTCCTAAACAAAATAAGTCAATGCAGTTATTTAATTATTATTACCATACTGCTCATTTAGTATAACTCATTGCATTCACTGACACATAGTACTACTTTAAAGGGGGAATTGTAAAGAGAAGATCTGCCTATTTCAGCTATTTATTTTTTGTCACAACTTTATCTGAAATGATAGTACCATAGAGTAACAACTATATTTTTTGCTCAAACATGAGAATTCAAGAATAGTCCAGAAGGAAGACTGGCAGTCCTTAAGAAAGAAGTATGAAATAAGAAAGTTAACTAACCTGAAGATCCTGCATGTTCAGACATGTTCCTTTCATCATCTTCAATGCAGCGTCCTCCTGAGGAGGAACACTTCTCATGATGTTGTTTCATTTGACAACGAGGCCTTGCATTTCTTTGTTGCACTGTTTGCATTTTGAACACATACCTGTCTTACCCACAGGTAGAGGAGCTTCATTAAAATATTCCCAAACTGTGTCTTTTTTACAGCCGGCTGCCATTATAGGTTTTCCCTTCTAGGGAGAGAATGGCATGGTAGATCTCAAATCAATGAAGACTACACTTGGAAAGACCTTCTGGAATATGCTGCTCAAACAATTTCAGTTTTGTTTCTACTGCCTGTCCCTCCCTTCTCACGTTTATCTCCAGACTTTTCCTTGTCCAGATCTATTCTTCCCCCAACAATCTTTTATTTATTAAACGTTTTGAAACTTTGCACTTTTACAGAGAGGTCAAGGATTGATTCTGTGTACACAAAGTTGCAGAGGGACAGTAGGGTTGAGGTCTGTTATTTCTCACCTCTTTGTATTATTTATTTAAAAACATTTTTGCTGTTAACAAGCATGTTATCTCTGGAGACACAAATCCACAATTTTAGAACTGCAAAACTAAACATCTCTGATGGTATCTTCTAGACTGAGCACTGAGTCCCGTTGGGTAGATAGAAAGATTAACCTAAATAATCTATACAGAAGTCCCTGGAACCTCCATAAGATTGGGTCCCTAATCCATGAACTATTGGAACTCATTTACAAAACTTTTCTTAAACATTACACGACTATAATGCATCCTAATTAAAACTATCTTTAGATAGTTTTATCTAAAATCTAAAGCATTTTATCCATTTTATAAAATCCAATTTAAATAAAAAAAAATCTGAATTTTTAAATCATTGATTTTTTTATCCACACTGGTTGGGATTATATTTTCCAGTGTGCATTACTTTGCACTTTTCAACATTGAATTTCATCTGCCATTTTGTTGCCCAGTCACCCAGTTTTGTGAGATCCCTTTGTAATGCTTTACAGTCAGTTTTGGACTTAAGTGTCTTGATCACTCTTTCATCCACCTACCTGTATCTGCTGGAGAACTGGAATACCTTCCTAGGGCTTCAGCATTGGGTACGAAATATTGAAGGTTTCCAGAGCAGAAGATCATGTGACTTTGAAGGATAGCTACCTTCCAGTGCTACTTGGTTATTTTGGGGAAAGTTTTGACTCCTGTTTGTGTGAAGTAGCTACAATATTTATGTCCTTATTTCCTTTCATCAAGGAAAAGGGTCTTACAGAGAAATTTTCTTCATAAGGATGTGAAAACCTGAAGAGAAAATATAAAATATATATGTACAGTAGATCATGACAATGTAACCACAATCCTTGAACGTCCCTTCTCCCCAAATTTAAGGTAATGGGGAAAGTTGAATGAGATTGCAGAGAATAGGGAAGGAAAGGAGAATCCTTACATATAAGATCTGAAACCATAGGTAGTAGTTTTATATAGTGCCATAAGTTTTTGTGAGATAAAGAGGTTGAATGAACTAGAATTGGCTGAGAATGAAAGATAATAAAGGAAGGAAGCGGATGGTTAATTTTCCCTCTGATTAGCAGCTGTGATGAAGGTAGAGCAGTATCACAATTAATATTTTATTTATTTGTGTAGCACCACGGGTTACTAGATGTTAAAACATAGACTACAGCCCCTGCCACAAAGCTTATTTTCTTGCTTTAGAAGTGATGGGAAGAGTAAGGATAACAAACAGCAGGGGAAGGGGATTGGGGCAGGGAAAACAGAGCTAACAGCAACGTGAGTCTGTGATCACACAGTCTACAGCATGTGCGGCTCTTTTTTTAAAAAATGAAATGGAGTAAGCTACAAAGGACTGAAAAATAATTGACTCACTTATGCATTAGTTTATTTTATTCCCAATTACCTAGACAATTTAATATTTTCTTGCCCCTTTAGTCCTGACTGTTAGGATTGCTTAGATGCTTTCACAGCTTAGATATTCTAGGCATCATAGCAATTCTAATCGTTAGGACTAGAGTGGGAGGAAAAAAATAACTTATCTGGGTAATTGGGAGCCAAGTATGTTATCTGGTGAACTAATTTGGCCACCATTTACCATAGTATCTGAGCACTCTCAATGCTTAATGTAGTTATCCTCACCACACCCCTGTGTGGTAGAGAAGTGCTGTGACCTCTGTTTTACAGAGGAGGAGCTGAGGCACAGAGAGAGACTAAGTGACTTTCCCAAGTCACACAGGAAGTCTGTGTTATAGCAAGGAATTGGCTCTAGTCCCAGGCTAGCATGGTGACCAGTGGGCCATTCTTCCTCATAGGTATTTTGAAAAGCATATGCTGTTGAGTGAAATCAACTGGGATAAAGTAATGGCAGGAAAAGTCCAATGCAATATGGAAGGTGTTCAAAAATAAACTAATGCGTAAATTTACAGTAGCCATAAAAACTTATTAGGCACATTTTCTTGGAATGTTAGAAAAGTTCAGAAACCATTAGTTAATCCTCATCTCCTCACGAATATGCTCAGAGGAAAAGTGTTGAATATCTCTGTGACAGAATAAATAAAGTTTCAATGTAGCAAGGAGTTTATGAAAGCTGTAAAGATGAATGAATAGTAGAAGTATCTTGAATAAAAATATCACCACTTCTTAACTACGTTATCGTCCAACTCCTGTTGGTGTGTGCAGTTTTTTCTTTCTGTACAAATGTATCTACCTCCCAAGCGTCAAATATAAATCTGTGTGTAGCTCAGGTCAGGAACAGGGACAAAGGACCAAGCAGGCAGGTTATTAATTGTGAGGACGTAACTTTCAGTGACTGCTTTTTTTGGTTAACTGTGGTTCTTACTCTGGCTTTTTCTGGGGTAGGAAAAGGGATGGCAGAGGAAACCCCATCATTCCCTTCCCTTACTCTGCCACTCTTATAGGAGCATGTCTGTCTCTGATGTGGGGGATTCTCTTTTCTTAGCAGAATTTGTTCATTATGCCTGGGCAGCACAGTGTATTTCCCTTTTCAGCAGGGTTTCTCAGGGACTTACAGTTTACTCGCTGATTTGAGTAACCTTGAGTCTACTACACCTCATTCTGTACATTGACTTTGTACAAAGTAAAAGATTTTGGTTTTAAAGCCTTAAAGGATACAGACCCTGACTGCATCATCCTTACAGCTACCTGAGCTCCTTCCCCTTCGAACACTACAATTGCATGTTACATTACCTGACAAGTCTGCCTTTGCTGTAGGAGGCCTTTGCACGTGGAACTCTCTCCTGAAATCTGTCTCAGTTTTACAGTGAAGTCTTAATTATTCTCTCGGGCATGTTTTTAATTTCATCACTCTGCCAAGTTTATTACATTTCAATCTCACTCTGTTTGCCAGTATTACTGTTTCACCTTTGAATTTTAAGACCATGGTTTTGTATTACACTTTCATTAATTTTATTAAGTTTTTAAGCACCTGTCGTACAGTATTCCAAGGTTTTCAGTGGAACCAAGGGGACATCGTAATTATTGCTGGGTTTTTTGGATAATTTTCATTTTTTGTTTGTTCCATCTTTGAGAATTCTCCTCTCTCACTCTATTTCCAGACATACTCTCCCTCTGAATGGGAATGTGAGTTTGTTCTACATTTTTACTTCTAAAAGTGTGCAATGTGAAGAGCAAATTTATAAAAGACCATCTTTTATCTTTTTTTCTCCCCTCTTAAAACTAGGTATCAAATCGTAGTGGAAATAGTTCAAGCAACCACAATCAGCAACTTTCCCCAGATGAAAAGACAGAAAGGTAAGCATGCATTCTGTTAGGAGTTAAGGCTGCATATTTAATAAAATAAACAAGATATCCGAATGTAAGACATGTACATAGCTGGGTTTGTGTGCACAGGTCCTGGACAGATTTTGAGAATGTGCCTTCCAACATTAGATTTTAATGTTCCAGTTTTCACACACTTTGTTTTACTTGTTCAATTGTGGTTAAAATTTATTTGCCAAAATCTTACTGTTTCTTTGTAGACCAGGTTCAGAAAGTAAATATCAGTCACTGGTACACCTACCCTTGTTCTATTAAGGTTTTTGCAATAACGTGGCATTTTACATGGTACAGTAAAACTTCTTATATTACTAAATTTCACGTATTTGCTGGCTAATACTTGTCATTGATTAGCTATTCAGAATTAACCCTCTAATCCAGTCTTTTAAAAAAAATTATCCAGTATAAATGCCACTTGATACTCCCTTGCACCAATATTATTATGTAGGAGTTTGGGTTTCTCTGATCTAACTGACAGAGAGCACTGTGCGGTTGATCCTCATAAGCTTGCGAGAAAGGAGGACGTTTCGAGGACACATTCAAAATATGTTATGGATTCATGAAGCAATGTCTCCATCTCTATGAAGCTGTCTGGTTTACCAGTTAATAGTGAAGGGATTCCAGTTCTGAGGAAGTAGATTACTGTATACTGAAAGGATGGGCTGTGGGAGAGGAGTAGGGATAGTGTAACACAGAATGAAAGGTCAGGTGAAGGGGCCCCAGTTTACACAATCTGATTCAGATTTTCCTTCAGGTTCTCATTCATATACCTGGGCAATGACAGGCCTCAGTACCATATCTACTTTCCACACACAAGAACACACATACAATGAAAGCTGGCTGTAAACTTGCCCTGCTAAGTGTTTCCAAAGAGGCAGCTCCCTGTCCTTCCGCTGTATCATTATTCACCTTCATTTTTGCTGATAGATCGAAGAAAATTCCAATTCTCAAGCTGGGATGGCTGGGCCCATACCCCATCATCTCTTCTGAATTTACGGAAATTGTGGTCTTGTCATTGTTGAGGCTTGTGCTATATGAGCAGTTAAATGAATATTATATCCTTTTCTTTTTATATGCTTCAATACACCCCTCCCCCAATTTTAAAAATACCTATTTTAGTATCCTTTCAATATATATGCTGTATACTTCTTTAAAATATTTATATTCATGTAGAATTTATGCTCCCACTTATGAGTATTTTATTTGACTTTGTTTACTTTTCTCAAGAAATGTTGATTTCTACGTCTGCAAGAAATTGTGGTGATAGTAAAGGTACTGGACTCAGTTTTCATGTGGGCATGGACAAATATTTTTAAAGATAATAGAAACAGAGAGTATTCGATTATTTGTCCATAATCTAAAATGGAAGGGAGATTTATAAAGTGTGTGGTGGAGATTTATTCAAGTTGTCCTCCAGGCTTTTAAAATAAAATTCCAGTGTCATTAACTTTTGCATATTTTATCGTGAGTCTTGCAATATTTGGTTTCTCAGAATCCCAAGTGCTGGAATCAAAAAATTGCATGAGAAACTGTATTCATTTAAAGAAAATAAGTTTGTAGTTGTAATGCATGCAGAGAAAAGCCTTAAAATGTGACCTGAATGCACCCTAAAGATTCAGGAAACCCCCAACATTTATCATTAAAAAATTTTTTTTTGTCAAGCCAATCTTGGTGTTCTGGAGCCTGACTCATATTTTTTGAATGCTTGAAGTTGGCACCACTGAAATTCCTTTCTTTTATAACATAAAGTAGAGCTAACTATCTGCTGATTCATAACAAATTGCTTGTACTGTAACAAGGCAAAAGGAAACCTGAAAATCAGTGTTAGGTTCACTGTCCATTAGAGAAAGGGAATATTAATGTACTTCAAATGAAAGGTTAATTTACTGGAAAGAGTTTTCCTCTTTCTTATTTCATTACTTTATAAAACAAACTAATGAGTCCATCAAAAAAATCAATTTTTCCAAGCGTACGGTTGCCTACAATTGCCAGTATTAAGGAGCTCTGTGCTTTGTTGTGACAAGACTTGATTTATGGTACAATATTTTTGTACAAATTGTATCTTGAAATGCTTTATAGAGATAGATACTATTAAAGTTTTTCAGGTCACATTAAAAAAACTAACAAACTAGGGCTGTCAAGTGATAAAAAAAATTAATCGGGATTAATCGCACAATTCAAAAAATTAATTGGGATTAATTGTGCTGTTACACAATAATAGAATACCATTTATTTATTTTTTTAATGTTTTCTACTTTTTCAAATATATTGATTTCAGTTACGACCTAGAATACAAAGTGTATAGTGCTCACTTTTTATTTACTTTTGTTACAAATATGTGCACTTTAAAAATCAAAAGAAATAGTATTTTTCAATTCACCCAGTACAAGTACTGTAGTGCAATCTCTTTATCATGAAAGCTGAACATACGAATGTAGAATTAGGTACAAAAAAACTGTGTTAAAAATGAAACAGTGTAAAACTTTAGTCCACTCAGTCTTACTTTTTGTTCAGCCAATCACCCAAAGAAGTTTGTTTCTATTTATGGGAGATAATGCTGCCCACTTTTTGTTTATAATGTCACCTGAAAGTGAGAACAGTTGTTCTCCTGGCACTGTTGTAGCCAGCGTCTCAGAATATTTATGTGCCTGGTGCGCTAAAGATTCATATGTCTTTTTGTGCTTCAACCACCATTCCAGAAGGCATGTGTCCTTGCTGATGCTGGGTTCTGCTCAACAACAATCCAAAGCAGTGCAGGCTGACGCATGTTCATTTTCATCATCTGAGTCAGATGCTGCCAGCTGAAAGTTGATTTTCTTTTTTGCTGGTTCGAGTTCTGTAGTTTCTCCATTGGAGTGTTGCTCTTTTAACACTTCTGAAAGCATGCTCTACACCCCATCCTGATCAGATTTTGGAACCTTCGGTCGAGTGCTGTAGCTATCTTCAGTAATCTCACATTGGTACCTTCTTTGCATTTTGACAGATCTGCAGTGAAAGTGTTCTTAAAACAAACAAGTGTTGGGTCATCATCCGAGACTGCTATAATATGAAACATATGGCAGAATGCGGGTAAAATGAGCAGGAGACATAGAATTCTCCCCCAAGGAGTTCAGTCAGTAATTTAATTAATGCATTATTTTTTTAATGAGCATCATCAGCATGGAAGCATGTCCTCTGGAATGGTGGCTGAAGCATGAAGGGGCATACAAATGTTTAGCACATCTGGCAAGTAAATACTTTGCAATGCTGGCTACAAAAATGCCATGTGAATGCCTGTTCTCACTTTCTGGTGATGTAAATAAGAAGCAGGCAGCATTATGTCCCATAAATGTAAACAAACTTGTTTGTCTTAGCTATTGGCTGAACAAGAAGTAGGACTGAGTGGACGTGTAGGCTCTAAAGTTTTACATTGTTTTGTTTTGGGGTGCAGTTATGTAACAAAAAAGATTCTATATTTGTAAATTGCACTTTCACGATAAAGAGATTGCACTACAATACTTGTATGAGATTAATTGAAAAATATTATTTGTTTTATCATTTTTCCTGTGCACATATTTTAATAAAATATAATATATAATAAAAATAATAATATAAAGCGAGCACTGTACACTTTGTATTCTGCGTTGTAATGGAAATCAATATATTTGAAAATGTAGAAAAACATGCAAAATAGTTAATACATTTCAATCGGTATTCTGTTTAATAGTGCGATTAAGATTGTGATTAATCACGATTAATTTTTTAATCACAATAAATTTTTTTGAATTAATCGTATGAGTTAATGGTGGTTAATCAACAATCCTAAAACAAACCCCATCTCCCAATATAAATGATGAGATTCAGGAATGTGGTTCCTGATAGGCAGAATGTACATAATTACCAAGTTGTAATTTTGCTTTGGCCAATGCGCCTATTACTTTTTAGTTTATATAAATATATCTAATCTAATAATCTACCATTCTAGGGTCCCTTAATTTAGGAATTTACTGAAAATACCTATGCACAGTATTGTGGATTAGAACTACAATGATAAACTAAGTAGTAGTTAAACCTTCTAAGCCTAGTCTAGTTTTTTTCCTCTCCCTTTAATTTTCTTTTGTGGAGTTGGTTCTATATTTTATTTGAAGTTTTGTTATTTCCTATTGTTTAAAAACAACTGCTACAACAATACTCTTTACCAGCCAGCAGCATGATGGGGTAGGATATTGAGGCTCTAGCCTTAATTCCTAATTGAGGGCAACAGCAGTTTTGATTTCCTATAACAACCTTAGAGTTGAATTATTGGTAAATATCCTCAGTTTCTGAAAATTTTCTAAGGTGGAAGTTTTGTTAGAGGAAATGTAGTTGTATACTTCTGCAATTCTCATATTGTTGCCTTGTTCTGCAGGCTTATCGTTTAACTCCACATACCAGCTTTTCCAGAGTCAATATGATTTAAGGTTTCACAGTTCATAACCATTTTTTCAATTATTGTTGAAAATATTGACACAGTGCACTAGTTTGTAACTATTGTAATCCACCTAAAGATAGAATAAACTTTAAGTTCTTCATCTGTTTTAGTTATTCTCCTAAGGGTTTCTTCCTCCAAATTATGCAGGGTCAACCTAACTGGAGCTGACCTTCAAAGGACACGGTCAACAGCTGTAGAGTTCAAATTTTGTTTATTTTTAAGGTGGGCAGGAAATTATTTGAAAAAGCAAATATAATGTGTTTGTTAGTTTCAGTGAAAACAGTTTAAAGAAAAACACCATTTCCTTGTGAACCTGATCAGAACAGTTTAGTGCTAAGCTGTACCTGTGCCCTAACAAGTGTCCTGGGTGTGTCCCAGGACATCCTTTGTGGTGACTCCTCGCCCCCTGCCCTCCCCACAAATCTCATTCAGGAAGCTCCTGGCTCTGTATTCACTCACAGCTCTTAACTTAGATTCTGGTGGTTTTAGTCTTACTGGCAGCTGTGAACTCCCCTTCCCTCCTCTT